TGAGCGAGCAGACAGGACATACTGTAAACAGCCAAAACAGGAGCCACACCAGGACTAAACCAGGGTTGACAATGGGGGACATAGGGCTTGTTACATGTGAGTTGTCATGCTCCCGTGACTTTATGCAACTGCTTCGAGTGTGTTTGCCGATGCGGAAGTACCGTTTAATAATAAAATAAACGTATTGCGCACCTCCGTAAACACATACTACTGTTATATAAAGTCTGTGGAAGGTTTCTGAACACAGAGACCCTGCAGAGCTGCATTATTGGATAAGATCTTTACACAAGAAGCCGCTAGCTAAACTCTGTTAGCATCAAAGCCCGCTGGCTACTTCCGCCACTTCCGGCACGCGCCAGGACTTCTGGTATGAAGACCCCTGCGTCTGAAAACTAGAGAATGTGCGTCTGGTGTGCGAGGCTTCAGTGTTTCAGCGTTGGCGGTCTGAAAGCACCATTCGATTACAATTGCAACAGAGAGAACAGAATGTAAATTTTTGATTCATTAGTGATAATCTGTTGATCTGGTGACTGTAGATACACATACTTACTTAGCCTATTGACAAATGTACGAAACTGTTATTATTGGCAATTGAGTTTGGCATTTGTGAAAAGCTCTTACATTGACACATTGTTCACAAGACAAACATCAGCTATGATTTAAGACTGCACCAGTTCATATTTGAATAAACTTGAGCAACTGCTTCAACTTGGCTTGAACAGACGAACTATGAAAGCAAGACGTTATAGTTCCTGTGTCTTTGTGTGATCCATTGTTTGGGCACATATACGTTTGGTGAAAACAGTCGTGGGCGAGATTGACATCCTGACAAACCCGTTGAATGGAGCCTGATGAATGATACTTGTTGGACTGGATTTCATTACTAAAACCATAAAACATTTCTGTCTGTGTCTTCATATAAAGAACAAACTGACACAAATCTGTTTTCAAACGAATGGCCACCAATGCCCTCTCAATAACTTCTAATGCAGGGGTCTCCAACCTTTTTTCATCCAGGGAGCTACTTTTTTACAACAAAAGGGGCAGAGAGCTACTCCTTTTTTGCAGTTGTAATAACAATCTATGCAATAATTAAGACAAGATAGAAGACACACGCAGAACAGATGTAAATACACTAATACTGTATAACCTTATATTTTTATTTATAGTAGAGATGTAATGACTTAAAATGTATTCATCCAGGATCATGTGTTAAATTCTAAATCTGGGAGCTACCTGAAAGGGGCTGGCGAGCTACTAGAGCAGGGGTCCCCAAACAAATTATTGATTTATTTTACAAATGTTGAACAAACTAGAATGCCTTTATGCTATTTTCATTTGCAACTGAAAGCTAATTAATTGAAAAATCACTAAAGGGGTTAATCAAATTACTTTTCACTTTATGTTATGCAACAATGGCTTTTTCATGTCACTTTGCGATATAAACCAATACCAGCGAAGGGAATGAAAAACCTTTTTTTCTCTCAAATCACAGCTAACTTTTTACTAAACTGGTCATATTGTTTTAATTATGACTATTTATCTTGGCAACTTTGTATGAACAAAGTTTTGTAAGAGTTTAACAAAGTAGTGATCAAAAAAGCAACAATATGTTAAATGAACTGTAGTGGTGTTTATTTGAGTACTTTCACTTAAAACATACTTGATGAAAAGTGTTTATAATTTTATCTTCAAATCGTGCCTCCAGGTTCTAGGTCATAGAACAGATACCGACCAGATCCAAACATGGATATCCAAAACCCGTTTCAACCCAGATTACTTGGCTCGAATCATATTTTAAACTTCATACAACCATGTGCCTTTTTTTTGTTTAGATTTGCACTTAAGTTTGAATATAAGAGTGGGAAGAAGAAAACTTATTAAATCCACCCCTATTGTCCCTTGCTACATCACAGTTAAGTTTAATACTGTGATGTAGCAAGGGACAATAGGGGTGGGATTCAATACGTTTTCTTCCCACTCCTTTTCGAGCCAAATCCTTTATAATTCCTGTACTTATGTACAGCTGTTACATTTGTTATTTTTATTTTTTTCTTCATGTGATTTGCTCAAAATGAATCATTAAATGAAATGAAATATAGGTTACAAAACCTACAAACCTGCAACTAATAGACACACCAGTAAACATCAGTTATCACGCATCAGTTACATATTAAGCTAAAGTGATTTTTGTCCAAATAAAGGTCGCACTTGAAAAAAGCTGCAGGTTTCATGTTGCAGTGCAACACAAATAGCATCGAGAACAACAGGGTTGTTTGTTAACGTAACATTACAATAGGGTCATTCAAATAACTTCAGCAGAACATGCTACCTCTGCCAACTCTGAAGGTAAATAAAACATACAATTTAATACATTTCACACATAAATTGCTCCAGAATAAGTCTCACCCCCGGCCAGACAAAAAAGGCGACTTATAATCCGAAAAATACGGGCAATAACACATCACAATATAGGCCAAAGAGGCTGTTTTTGTCTTCAACATTATTCAGTTGCATGTGGTTTTAAAGGTGCTTGCACCTGCTTCTTTCTATTTCACTTTTATATCATTCTGTGAAATATTTAAAACAAGACAAAATTCATACACAGTGTAAAAATTACATACATTTTAACTATAAATCTTACTGTCATTAATATGACACAATGACTAATCACTGGGGAGCAATGTGACTGCTGTCCTCGTCAAACTGAACAGTAAATGTTTAGTGCGTGCTGGTATGGCAGGCAGAAGTGTCTGTATCCACGTATGTGCCACACACAGGGTGAAGCACACAGGGTTAGCCGAGGTAACAGACCTATATAAATAAGCTATTTTAGGTTCACCTTAGAAGTACCATACATGCTGCATAATCTCTGGGACAAGCTCCCAGCCAGTTCACACCTCCCAAAGACACATGACCAGTTTATCAAGTACAAACTGTCTACTGGGAAAGTGGACTGTGATTAATGACAGTATGAGCATAGAGTACAATATCATTCATTTTTGTATTATGCAATTTAGACCGTACATTTAGTGTGGCATCACAAGTTACCCAACAGTAGAAGGAGCACACAACAAAGGAGAAAAATTAACATCAAGTACATAACAACTCTATACTTTTACTAATAAAATAGAATATCCATCTTTTGATTAATAAAGAAGCATTGTATACTCTCATGCAAGAAATAAACTTGTATGTATACATCTGTAATACATTCTAAAACTATCGCCAGCATATTATTATTGGATTGGGATGCTCTTAATCAAATGCGAGCTGCTGTGCAATCAATTCACAGAAGAAACATGAAGTCCCAATTAATCCTGAACTTAGCTACTGTCTTATCACTCGCAACTTATGACAACATTTACCAAGTATTACATCAGCATTGCAGATTTCTCCAACGAACAAGCGAGTGGATAACATTTTAGTCTGGGTTTGGCCTTTGGTATTGTGTGCTCAAAGCTTCCCATAGATTGTCAGTGTTGATATGGTGGCAAGTACTGTCACTTGTATTGTGTACAAATATGAATTCTACCAAAAACAATAATCCATTTTAAAATTATGATTCACTTATCAAAGTCTCATTGGGCTAAATCAAAGCCAATATTAATTCATTCTATGTTTGGAAGTGGTGGAATTGAGGCTGCCAATCCGCGCCATTGGCCCCTCTGAACACCACCACCATCATCATTCAGGAGCGCCCGGAGGAAACCCACCCTGACATATGGAGAAACATAGAAACTCCATGCATACATATATACATATTAATGAGGCCTGAGTACTATCCACTGATACACCATACATTTTTAAGATAATAGAAAAGGTAAATGCACCATATTGTAAATAGCATTTGTAATTGTAATAATTCTAAGATAAGATAAGATAAGCTTTATTTATCTCACATAGGAGAAATTTACATGTCATTCTGACATTCTATTCATTGAATTCATGACATTCTATTTAAATTTTATTCCTTTGAAGTGTATGATGATTTTTATTATGGCTTACTCTGTTCTCGATTCTTTACCTCTCTTTTCTGACTGATGCACTGAGCCAAAACAATTTCCGAGTCTGTGACTTCCTGTTACTTACGTGGCAATAAAAATGATTCTGATTCTGATGTTGTCTACTATTTAGACTGACCAAAATAATAATCTCTACTTTCTTAGACATGAGTTTTGCTCACGGGGGAAAGGTTGCCCTTTTCAAATCAGTTAAATCCTCATTCTCACAGTTCAGAAGAAGTTCCCTTAATTTAGCTGAACCTGCTGGAAACCATACCCAATAGATTTAGTTAAACCTGGAGCCTGACTAAACACAGCTACAGTACAAAGATCAAAAAGATTTGAAACATATCTATGTCTGTCTTATGTGCACTTCCAGTGTAGCAGCCTGGGAGTCCAAGGCAAATTTTATTTGTGACATAATAAATCAATCTTGAATCTTGAACATATAGATGCCATGTTTTACGACTTATTTAGTTAAATAAAAGTAAAGGTAATGCGCCTTACAAACTTCAGGTGGACTGATCACCACCAAGCTAAATTGTGCATACAAATTTAGCTTAAATGCTACTTTTGAGAATTTTTGCATGAACACACATTTGAATATGGTCTGCGACATTCTCATGAAAAAGCTGTGAATTTTCTATGAATATTAATTCATGAAATTCTTACATAGCTGTATAGTACATAAATAAAATGTACGCATGTAGAATATAGTCTGCCACAATGAGGCAGGTGGAGCAGTCACCTTGATCGACCGATTTCCCTTTAAGGGCTTTGAGTGGTCCTGATGTTGCTGCTGTCACATGGACAGCACATGTTTTATACGAAGACTTAAAGGGAGAGTCCATCGTAAAATCTTAAAGAGCAACAGTTACACAGTGATTTATTTACTTGGTGTCTTAAGAAGTGGATTTTGGGAATGCTTTGATGCTTATTTGTTGCACACACAAAACAACTATCAAGAAACATAGATATAAATGCACAGAACTTTACCTGCTACTTGTGTTTTTCTTGCTTTTGCTTTTCCTTTTCAAGCTGTCCCTCTCATGACTGCTGATGAAGGGTGGGATTGAGGCATAGCCATGTTCAGCTTCAAGAGATAAACAACAAACAGTGGTCACATGTTGGAATCTTGGCAAGATTCTGTGCATACTAAACCACTAGACAAGCAGGAACATGGAAATAACTGGTGTCGATTACTAAATGCAATACTTTCATTCTCAAATCTGATGTGGTTCAGCATCTGAAACGGTCGGTAAATGTTTTGCTGTAGTTCTCCCCTCTGCCTGGACAATGATGTCATTTGAACTGAAATAAACCCGCTACCGAACCACAACAGAGGGGAAAGGAGGGGCTCCCATAAACCCATAAAAAATTGTCTCATGCACCTATCTGACACATCATTAAGAATGTCTCTGAATGCATTCATGATTAGTTTGCATATATGCACTTATACAAGGCATGTATGTGTGTTATCAATTATACACTGAAAGGTTTGCAGTTTGATGTTTTTTTATAGGAGGTCCATTGTGCTGCACTGTTAGGAAACCTCTTTTGATGTGGTTTGCATCCAAAATCACACCAATACATGAAAGTACATGCAAGAATAAAGCAAACTAAAACATTTGAACAAGATGTCATGTCACAGTAAGAGAGACTGTGGAAATAAGACACACTAATACCTCACTAATAAAGTCATAAAGACATGGGCAATCAAAATTATATCACAATAAATGATTGACGATATTGGCAAGCCGGAATTTGAAAGATCACAAATGCATAAACACACAATACAATATAATAACATTAAACATAATAATTGCAACAGCATTAATGCATGATAAAAATAGAGTTGCATTATAAAACGGAATGAACAAGAGCATGGGCAGCATGCATCTCAAACACACATGTCTCTCCTCTTTCCTCTCCAATGTCTAGGTTCTGAAAACTTACCTCTTTCCCTACGGTCAAGGTATTCAGCAGCTTCAATCAACATCTGCAGCATTCCGACCGCCGCCATTTTCAACAATAACACTGATTATAATGAAACAATCCGAGGGGATCCCGTGGCTGCCTTAGCACTGGCTTCCCTCTCGCTTCCTCGACTCTGGAATCTCTATGTCTTGCTTTTTCAACGCGAGATGAGCTGGTTCTGCGATGCAAACCACCGAGGTATATACAAGTTTAATTGCCGGGACACAAGTGGTATTTAAATGGACTTAAAAATATGAGCTTGCAGAGAGGCGAGTCGCAAATTCCTCCTAGGTTGTTTTGACCCTTGGCAAAAAATATGAATCGTGCAGTGGCAGTTCTGGGTAAGATGATATTTAGGATGGTCGTTTCTTATTACAAAACTGAAATTTGTTGTCAAAAAGCAATGGTAGGCAAGATGATCTTAAATAAACAGTGGTCAAATTGGCGAGAAATTGTCTCTAAATCGACTGTTTATCCAAAACGAAAGCTTATAAAGTAGTTAAAACGCAGTCTTTTTCGGATTACAAAGAGTTGCAGTGGTGAAAAATTGCAGAAAAAGCAGAAAGATAAATAATGAAGAGCGAGTATTTATCAAACTGCTTCCAAATAGTGGCTTGTTGATCTGAACGATAGCAAACCACACTGTACCACAAAGCTCCTGGCTGCGACTCTCTGATTGGATACTGGACATAACTACTCGCGCTCTCATTGGCTGTTGCTCGTGTCGATCATAAAAAGAGGGTTGGCTGTCACTGAAACTGGAGCGCTGTGGTCCACCATTTTGGATCAAGAAAAGTATCTGAGAATACGTTGTCAAATTCGAAATCGTAAAATATACGAAGCGCATGGAAACATGTGAACACATATGACATTGGTCGAATGATTTTAGTTTAGTGTGAAACGCGTAGGTCGTTAGATAGCGTTTATAACGAGTTTAGGGGCTCCGAGAAAACGACGCCAACTAGGGCAGTGAAACATTAAAATGACCGGTGAGCCTTTGCGTGCAAACATACCCCTTGATAAACCGATTAAGCGTGCGCATTCTTAGAGTTGCGCATTTCTGTCTGAGCACGTTAATTATAGCATAATCGTGCATTTATTTCTGTAAATGCGAAATACTCGACGCTGCTCGGAGCCAAAATGGAGTCGGGTTTCGGTGCCTTAACGTCCCAGGCGCTGATTGGTTGTTCGCTCGTGACTTCCGCAGCCATTGGTCTACAGGTCCACGAGCTGAAGTGACAGCGCCCGCTCGTGACAGCTGACACGCCCTCCTGGCCATGCTGTCTCGCGGTGTATTGTGGGGATTGGCTGCTGAGATGTTGTTTGTCTGTTTTCTTGAACTGGGATTGGCCAAATTCACATGCTCAATTTTGATTGGAGTGTGCCGAAAAATAAAAACTTGGAAACGCATGCGTGCAAGGCAGTATGATGGAAAACAAGATACTTTCCCCTTTTTAGGACTATTTTCATCAAGATCTTTACCTTATGGGTGGCTTCTCAAATCCAGCAAAAATAAACTTAATATTGGTTCAAGTAGAGATCTAGTCTCACATTGTGATGATTGTTATGAGTAGTTTTCTACTGCTGTATTTGTTTAGTTGTTCCACAATGTTTTGTCTGTGTTGCATGAGGGATAGGTTGGAAGTGCCTGCTTCATCCAACCCCTTTTCAAAACATACAGGGAAGCATGTATGTAAGTTGGTAACATTGTGTATGTTCTGAAACGAATCTTGATATCAGCAAATATCAGAAGAATATAGCATAGTAAAAGAATAAAGATATTTCACATTTTAAAAACATGTTTATTTGAAATTATTTGACAACAGTTCTGCAACACTTAAAACAAAACAACTGAATTACATAAGAACTGTGGATCAACTTTTATAGTAAAGCATAATATGTACAGAAAAAACATAATGAGAAATGAATCAAAAAACGTGACCACAAACCACAAACGCGAGGGAGGACAAGGGTTGTTTGTGCAGCATCACAAAATGTTGATAAAATCTCATGCAATGAAGTCCAGCGGTCTGTTGAATCCTCCTTTTCTGTTCATGTACTGCCTGCAAAAAATAAAAATAATACAAGAAAACATTACATCACTGTTACCCTCGCAACACTTGCAGATTACATCACCAAGAGCCAATGGGAGCACGAGGAAGTCTGCATAGAAACACTTGCAGAGGTGATTGGCTGCAATAACAACTTGATGCATCAAGTGTCCTGTGTGAGAGGACTAGCAAGTCGACAAGTTGATATTTTAACAAAGAAATTATTTTAAAAATTCACAGCTCCTTCCGGAAACAAAGCACAAATTGGTACACTGCCTATATGACCCAAATGAGACGCTGCATGCATTTGTTTTGACATATGATGACAAACAACTTTATTTGGAACTGTGACTTCGAGAATTCAGCAGAAATAACGGCCTAGTTCAGCAGCACTAAATGGCTAAAATGCCACAACAGACAAAATTCCCCAGAACAATCACCCTCTATTGACTCTCAGATCAGTGTTCATTTGACATTCTTAAGATGGTATTGCTATCATACTAATTCAGTTGTAAACTGTGAATGACGACATGTAAGGCCCAGTGAAGCCGGGGTGTAGTCTTCCAGGTGGTGGTCTGCAGCTTGATTGAAAGGCTCATTTATTGTTACTTTAGCGTCCAGTGTGATCTGAGCTTCTGCGTTCATGTGCGGGGCTGGTCAGGTGGCAGGTGTCACATGGGAATTCAAAACATTTAATTTTATTCCATGTAAAAAAAAACAAACAAACTCATTAGGCTTGTGTGCCGAGTCTTTTTTACCATTGGTTTTCATCTCTCGCTGCATGTAGTCAAAGTCAGACACAGGTGTACGATAGTCGATAACTCATCTATCATGATCAGCTGTTCGCGAGAAAAATAATATGGACGGTGAATTGCAAAATTCAGAGGTCAGATTGTTCCCTCTGAGCTGCGCAGTGGAATTGGGGTCAGAGCACAAAATATAAATCCAATCTGAGAAATGTAGGTGACGCAGTATTTACAGAGCTCATCAACATGACCGACAGCATCCTGTGTCGCTAGCAAAACAAAGTGTTCGTGTCTTTACAGTCCAAGGATTGCGGTGGAGCTGCGCATGCAGGCCTCACTCACCGCCTGCCCAACACAGATGTTTGAACCATGGATTTAAACTAGAACCGGACTAACCAAGCTCACGCTGCACATCATTAACAGTGGCCTCTGTATTTGAAGACAGTAGCTCGCTCTACTGCGTGCACTAAAGAACAGGAAATTCCTGCTCAATCCATTCATCATACATCAATTTGCTGTGGATATGCCAGCGTTATCTTTTCTCTGCTGTTGAGTAACCTTGTTGGTCGGATAAAGCACAAAGAGGCAGAAATCCTGAGAATTGCATCTTTTTCTATGGAATCATCCATCCATCCATTTTCTTCTCCTTAATCCATTTCTGGGTCAGGGGGGTGGCAGTCAGAGCTGCACCCAGTCACAGAGCACCAGCCCCTCACTGATCCTCCTGCAGGTGGTGAGTCCACCGGAGCTGAGATCTTTCAGAGAGGGCTTCGGGCAAAGTGGGGTTAAGTGTCTTGCCCAAGGACACAACGACAGCAGTCATCAGTGGGAGTGATGTGAAACCCTGTTCTTTTATCCGTGTGTATAGACCGCCAGCGTCCCTGAGTGTGTCTATGTGACAAAGCTGCTTGCGGTGTTTCTACATTCTATCAAGTGTTTGTAGGCACATATCATGAATTTTATTCATAAACCAGAGCCTGGCCAAGTGGAATTATTCAACTTAACCAAATGGGACAATATCGTCACTCTACACAAAAATAGAAGGACCCACCTGTATTTTCTCTTCATGGAGACGTTGATAGCGTGAGCATGTACAGATGAATCATTTCTCTTTTTGCCCTAAGAAAAAAAATATATATATTAGAATTAAAACAAAGCAGGTTAAACAATTACACAATAGAGAAACATCCTAATTATTTGCAGGTGACAGAATCTCACCGCAGCAGTATCTAAGCAATATATTCCCCTTACTGAGAAATATGCATAATATTCAAATTAAGCAGTAACAAAATGTGATGGGAATTTGGTTAAGAGTAATCAAGGTTTCATGATATTTCGTGCCTGCATAGGTTTCCTCCGGGTGCTCCGGTTTCCCCTACCATTAAAAACATGCACACTGGGTAAAATCCTCCGGTAGTCCTGACCAAACCATCTGGAGATGGGTTCCGAGGCACTGTTACTACGGCGACCACTGCTCCTGACGTAAGCATTACGTCGAATAAAGGTATATTAGTGGCATCAGGATGGGTCAAATGTAGAGGAAGAATTCTCCTACGGGGATTAATAAAGTGCACCTTTACCTTTACCATATTATCATAAAAAAGTGCTGATTGCAATTGCATTAAAAGCAGTAGTGCACCAAACTATGAAAAAAATAATATACATTGCTCAAACATACAAAAATTGCCCTAGAAGCAACTTTGGGTGGGTAAATAGTAAAAAAAGTTTGCAGGTCTATGGTCAGACAAAATATTATTAGATTAGATTATAAATGACAAAGCACAATACTGTATAACTATATGTATCATGACAGTACTACAAAAATACTGTGCTCCCCCTTGTGGATTTGAGATATAAAAATACATTCTTACTTTGGAGGAATCAAAAGCGCCAAAGCCCATCAGTTTAATCATCTCGATCTCCTCTTCAGTTTTTCCCTCCATGTCCTCGGCTGTGAAGAGATTAACAAAAGCTTTAAATAAACAGAACCAGGTCATTCTGTGTACAAACGCACAGACTTTGGCCGTACCTGACATCTGAATGGGCTTGGCCTTGGGTTGTTTAGATTCTTTGCGGTCGTCTTCGCGCTTCTGTCTTGAAGGCGAGAGTGAGGCCGAGCGATGGCGTCGAGGAGGTGTTCTGCATCACAAGTTATCAAATATTTACATCTCATATTTTTCATAACAATGTACTTTAATACTTTCTTCAATTTAGACATCCTTTTAATGAATTTCCAGTTATTTCCTGTGGCTCAGAGAACTTTAAAGAAGCTCTGTTTGTACAAGTTTCTCCATGACAATGCACCAAAGTACATGTCACAGATGTGTTTTTGAAGATTCTGTTCCAATCAAAAATTCATAGATCTGCGTTTCCTGGCTTTACCTGGATCTCCTCTTGTGTGGGGAGCGGGAGCGGCTCCTTCGTCTCTCTCTGGAACGTGAACGCTCCCGGCGTCTTCTTTCTCGATCTCGAGAGCCGGAGCGAGAGCGTCTCCTCTCTATTGTTCAACCAGTCAGAATGAAAACACTAACATTATTACCCAAAGTCTGTAGTGGCACAAACATACAGGTCATCACATTTCACTTTGTTATTAGTCTAGATCTGTGACAAGAAGCCTCTACGATAACTAATAATTATATAACCTTGTATATAATATGCACATACATTTATGAATTGATGCTCAGTCAGAGGAAGAATCATTAGTGTGACAGGGCTACAATAATTTGAAATGTAATTGCATTTTGTGGCGTTTTGTCCCGTCCACAATTTAAATAAATGAATAAATAATAATGAAATGTATGGACCTTTAGTATATATAATTTGTACAAACGCTACTTCAAAGATTATGGTTGTAGATTCTGTATTCTATGATAATTATTTGCAATGTGTGACTTGCCGTTTCTAAGTCGATTGGATTTATTTCAAGCTTTTAAACAGGAATCAATTATAGAATTTACAGCGATTACATATTATACATGATTGACACGTACACACATATTCATACATTTAAGGATTTCAAGATAATTTGGATAGTGAAGAGAATAAAAGCACGTAACGTTAGGCGGAGTTAGCATTAAATTTGCTAAAATGTCTCAGTTGTCTTAGCTATTGAGAATGAGGAGTTGACGTCACGGCACAGAGTCCCCCCTCCCCATCCCCCCTTTGCCGACATATTGGCTGCGCACCGGTGGCGGCAGTACAGTTTGTTTACGTGTGTTGTGAACGCGGTAGTAGCGGAGGTTCTTGCTATTCCGCACTGTTTTATCATGCCTGGAAATAACTGCTGCGTTAAAAACTGCTCCAATACCTCCCAGGATGGATATGGAAAACCTAGTAACAACGGGATACAGTTTTTTAGGTTACCGAAATGGAAAAAGCATCAAGGGGAGCAATTCTCTGACCTGACAAGGAGACGTCGGATTGCTTGGTTGGCTGCAATTAGAAGAAAGGACCTTACTTTCGATCACACACCCCTGTCGACGAGAGTGTGTTCTCTGCATTTTCACTCTGGTACGTTCTCTAAAAATGTATTTATGTAGTTGTCTCTTAAAGCTAGGAAGTGTAGGTTAGCATATGTTATTATGGTTTCTGTAGTGCCTTTGTCTCTGTGTCTTTGTTACCCTCTCAGGCTGTTTCTTACTTAGCACGTGTTCTGCGAGGTCTTTGCCAGTGTAAAGCATAGATTACATAGATTGTACACATAATCTAATTATTCTGTTGTACATAAACCTTCATATGACATTATGAGGTGACCTAAAAAGTACTTGAGATGCTGTTCATGACATAGTTGCCAGTTTAAAGCATTGATTACATAGATTGTGCAAATTATTATATTAATTATATGTTGTTATTATTCTCGTGTAGGTAAACCAGCATATGAGATGTTGGAGAACCACCCTGACTGGACACCATCCCTGTTGTTAGGCCACAATGATGTACAAAAAACAGATGAAGCGAGATATCAGCGGCAAGTAAGGCGCAGGTCCCTGCCACTGGAGCGGCAGCCACCTCCAGCCCAACACCAGCCGCAGGCGCCGCCGCCTCCAGCCCTAGACCAGCTGCAGCCGCCACCAGCCCTAGACCAGCTGCACCCGCCACCAGCCCTAGACCAGCCGCAGGCGCCGCCGCCACCAGCCCTAGACCAGCCGCCACCAGCCCTAGACCAGCCGCAGGCGCCGCCGCCACCAGCCCTAGACCAGCCGCAGGCGCCGCCGCCACCAGCCCTAGACCAGCCGCAGGCGCCGCCGCCGCCAGCCCTAGACCAGCCGCAGGCGCCGCCGCCGCCAGCCCTAGACCAGCCGCCAGCTGACCCGGACATGGAATGTGGACTCTGCACATCTAGACGAGATGTTATCAACAATCTTCTTGAAGAAAACAGACAGCTGAAGCGTGAGCTTGATACGTACCGGATGAATGAGAACTTTCTGAGTGGTGATGATAACACAGTGAAGTATTACACGGGGCTTCCAAACTTTGCATTGTTTCCAGACACTTCTACTCTACCTAACTCCAGATCTGCCTCAAGGTAGAATGAAGAAGCTCTCACCCTTCCAGCTTGTCCTATTGACTTTAATGCGCCTCAGACTGGACCTTCCAATACAGCACCTCAGCCATCTGTTTAGAGTACATAGGACAACAGTCGCCGATGCCTTTCACCATACCCTTGGTGTGATGTACGCACAGCTGTGTCCATTGGTGCACTGGCCAAGTAGGGAATGCTTATTGACCAGTATGCCACACCAGTTTGTGGAGTCATTTGGGAACAATGTGGCTGCCATTGTGGACTGCTTCGAGGTGTTCATCGAGAAACCTTCCAATGTACTAGCAAGGGCACAGACTTTTTCTCAATACAAACACGCATACACTATGAAATACCTAATCGTGATCACGCCCCAGGGTATTATTTCCTTCATATCGAACGGGTGGGGTGGGCGCACAAGCGACAAGCATATAACCGAGCAAAGTGGTTTCCTGAACAAGCTGTTACCAGGTGACATTGTGCTGGCAGATAGAGGCTTTAATATAAGAGAAAATGTGGGCATGATGTGTGCTGAAGTGAAAATACCTACATTCACCAGGGGTCGTGCTCAGCTTGAGGCGAAAGATGTGGAGGAGACTAGGGCCATAGCACATCTCAGAATTCACGTGGAGAGGGTGATCGGTGTTGTGCGCAACAAATTCAAATTCTTACACTCAACTGTACCTGTGCACATGCTTGTCAAATGTGAGGGTGAAAACCTAATGCCTTTGGATAAGATTGTCATTGTTTGCTGTGCCTTAACGAACATGTGCAAAAGTGTTGTTTGAGTACCTTATTCTTTACTGTATCTTTTATTTTTAAATAAATGCATGAAACAACTTGATATGGTTTACCAATATTTATTGAGAAATGAATATTTTTTTTGTTACAAACGTGTGCAGTCAAAGTACTGTTTCCAGCATGTAAACATGCCCAACATAGGTAAAAATGATAATAAGAGTCATACTTTTCTTAGTGCAAAGGGACACAAAACACTGCTAAACAACGTGTGCATTCAAAGTACTGTTTCCAGCATGTAAACATGCACAGCATAGGCAAAAATGATCATAAGAGTCATACTTTTCTTAGTGCAAAGGGACACAAAACACTGCAAAACAACGTGTTCCTGTACGGTCCCTTCTCTTTCGCCTTATCTCTAAGCATTGTTTTACTGTCTTCCTTTCCCTTGTTGTATCAGTAGATCCGTCTCTGTCTCGCCGAAAACGTAAATGCGTATAATTTAAAGTGCTCTGGAATATGAGGAGCGCGTGAAATTCTGGGGGCGTGCCCCCGTTGCGCAGCCAATATGTCCGACAGGCTCAGAGCCCCCCCCAAATCACCCCAACTCGGCACGTGACTCCTCATTCTCAATAGATACATCTTCAAACAGTGTCTTCCTTTCATATACTTTGTGAGCCTATTCTGTTAAGTGAATCATCTGCAGGGCCTTTATCCCCACCGCTGTCAGACTGTACAACAAGTCACTTTAAGTCACTGTATTAAGACTGAAAAAAACTACACTACTATTGACACCGTTTCTGAATGCCACTTTTAAATTGCCACTTTTTTATTGTACATAATATATCCTGCATTTAACATGTTGGCACGTTTCTTTCTTTTTGCACAACCTGAGTGTTTCTATCCATGCCAAATATGACATGTACATTTCTCCTTTGTGAGATCAATAAAGTATATCTTATCTTATTGCCAGTTGTTGGTTTTGTTTTGCGGAGAGGCATTAGCATTAGCATTAGCATTAGAAGCTAACTATTTGAATGTTTTCAGGAGGACACAGTCAGACATACCTCGCCTCGGCGGACTGCGGCTCCTGCTCCTCCCCATGCTTCTCACCGCAGAAAACAAAGTCCCAAAAACAGCGGAATTTAGCCACAAACTAGAGATGTGTTCGTGATGGAAGAAGAAAATATTGTTGTCTTCACGAACGTACAGTTTCCGGTGGCGTTTAGTAATCTACCGGTGCGTTATACTGAACAGCGACCAGATCCATGACAGCGACCCCTGCTGTCCAGAAGCGGAACGACATCTCACACTAAAGCTAGGGTATAACTTTCAAAACACTTGCTCTCAAAACCGTTTGGTGCTATTTCTTACATTAATATATTTTTGGATCATAATTTTCTGTGTGAAAAACTATTTGATGCCAAAATATAAAATGTTGATCAAATGGAAAGAGCATGGTTTGTCTTATAAGATGCTTGCTGTTGGGACAAACATACAGTCTATGGGACAAACACAATGCAAACATGTATATAAAAATAAGTTAAGCACCCCGTCATGAATGTGTACCAATAATCCAATAATTCGAAAAAATATAAAAAATATAATGGACTTTCTCTTTTATCTACTACATATAAAAAATATCTGTTAAACATTTGTATTAATTCTGTCACAGTCACAGCCATTATTTTTCATTCTGAAACCCATGGATAGTCATTTAATTTGACCTGCCAACCTGCATGAAGACTAGGGCTGAAACAACCAAACCATTCGTTAAATGTATTCTCAATAATTGACAACTATTTTAATTATTGATTAATCCTAAACTGTTTTACATTGAAATCAATACATTTGTCACAACGTTTACCGCTACAACAGGGCAGTAAGTACAGATAAAAGGATGTTCCCTTGGCTTCACTTCACTGACTTAACCAACAGACCAATTGCTTTATTGATCAATTTTAAAATAATATTTAAGTTAATTCACCCAAATACAATTTATTTTGAAAACTCAATATTTAATTTTAAGCTGCATGGAAATGTGTGCCGTGATAATACTGGAGATCATTTGTATATAACGTTACAAATACATAAGCAACAACTTCAGACTTGTTTTTTTGAAATCAAACTTGAGCTTTAATGACAGGTACATGGAAACTTTCAACAATCCTTATAACATTCCAAATAAAAATAAATATCAACTCATGAGCAAACATCGCACGTATTTCATTAAAATTGTCAAAAATAACACAAAACAACTGTTGAGAGGTATTCTGCACACACACATTGGAAGTAAAATCAGTGGAATGTTTCGTACAGTTTGTGAATCTTCAATCACTGCAGCTGCATTGACAAGCGACGAGATCTTTTCACGTTTTTGGTAATACTTTAGCACTGATAGCGTGGAGTGGGTTAGTGCAAGCCAGTGTTATTTGCAGGCGTCACAATCTGGCCTAATATTAAGACCACCAACTTGAAATACCACTGGACACAAGTAAATCTGCAATAGTCATAATATTTCCACATATGAACCTTACATTTTCCCGCTGTAGAAACGACAATAGCTGCAATATTCCACAAAATTGGCATTCAAATAATAAAAAAAGAGCACAATCAGTAGCTAGGAGTGGCACATTCTATACCTCTATGTGACCTGCGACGTCTATAGCTTCGACCAAAATCATTACAAATATGGAAATTCGATGTGAGTATACATGATGTAAGTGGTTATTCGTGTGAACGGGTGCATAATTAGATGTCGTCCTGGAAAATTTGGTTAAAAATATGGTGAACAGAAGTGCGCGGGATCACCGTAGCGATCGCGAGTGTAAATGACTATACAGTGAACAAAGCAAGAGAGACAGTGAGAAGGAGTGAGGCGTTGAATGATGGTAGCCTTGGTCAAATAGAACGGAAAAAGATGCACTGTGCAACTTTTCGAGCTACTGCTTTGCTTGGAATGTTCCTCAGTTTGGTTTTAAACTTTGTGCATTTTGTTTAAAAAAAATAACAAGGTGAAAACTAAGACATTTTACTGGCTTGGTGATGCCACTGGCTTGTTTCCAATGATGTGAAAAAGGGGTGGCCAATTATTTTATAGACTTGTAAACCGCTTCAGTTAAAAACTTCTACGTCTAGTACAAAAATTTACGAAACAGCCAAGACATCCTGAGTGTTAAAAGCTATTGTTTTAATCTGGTTGGATTTCTGAACAAAGTGATTACGGTTTAGTTTGGATTGAACCAAATGGGACCAGAAGTAAAGAAGGCTGTTTGCTAAATGGGTGTCATGGGGGCTGAGATTCTTAGGATATAGGTCTGGGTTCGAATCACGGTTTGAACAGGGCCTTTCTGAGTGGTGTTTGCATGTTCTCCTCATGTCTGTGTAGGTTTTCTCTCCTCTGCTCTGGGTTTCCCTGACCACTAAAAACATGTACAATAGGTCATATTCTCTGGCTCTGGGAGTCGTGACCAGGCCGAGCATCAACACCTGGAGATGAATCCCGGATGAAAATTGCCTACTGGGACAATAGAGTATAACTTAACTTAACTTAGTGGTTTTTGATGAATTATAAATTATTACGTTGAATAAATTTTAAGAGCAAAATACATTATGTGAGTTTTTTTCTTGAGAATAATGAGGTAAAACATGCCTTTCTTGTTTTTGTTCGTGCAAAGTTGCCTTTAGAGGGATTCATGCATGTTTGAGTAATAACTTATTCTCTATACTCTCTTTGATTTTACCCCCTTTTCTTTTCTGACGTCTGTGATACGTCTGCGATTCAGCAGCGTTGTGCAAATAATTAATTCTCAAAGGAAAATCCCTCCACAGTTTGCCTTGGCTTGATCAGCTGTGGAGCGGCAACTTCTATGTGACGGCGTTTTTGCCAAATAGGCAGAACGCAGACCCAAGACGAAATATGGAAGTTACCCACTGTTGGGATCGATCCTCGTACTGCAGTCAGAAGCCAAACCGACCAAGACGGGATGATTCTAGAAATGGCAACTACATTAAAGAGGACTCAAGCAAGTGGCGGAAAAGTTGCGCATTGCACCTTTAGTGAATTTGATTTTTCTTAGCGTCCAAGAGCATCACAGCTAACTTTGCATGTGTGGACGTGGATGCACCATTTCCCCAGACTGTAAACACATGATTCACAGTAACATTTAACCAAGGAGCCGCGTCTGGACCATCTCAACTCTCTACTTTCTCCTTTTGCTTTTTGCTTTTTTTCAGGAACGACGGCGGCTTGAACTTCTTTTTCTTCTTGGAGGGGGACTTGGACGGCGATCCCTCGGGCGTGTTGCCTTGCAGTTTGGGGGCGGCGCTCGTGTCGTTGGTGGTCAGCTCTTTCATGCCTTTCTCCAGCTCCTCTGTCGTCTGCTTCTCCTCCTCGCCACCGTTTTGGAGCACGGTGTCATCCATCTTGGGCTTATCTGAAGGCGGGGAGACAAACCAAAGTTAATATGGGATTCACCAGAACAGATCATTTAAGGTAAGGTAATACAGCAGTCACAAGCCAAACTGCCAAAGAGAAGATCATTTCAGGCAAAACAACATAAAAACACAGGCAAATGACAGAACCTGTGCTGTAAAACTTGTGCATTCATTAAAACTTGAATCAAACTAAAAACATTAAAATCTCAACAATGCTTCCAATGCAAATCATAGTTGTATCGTGCTTAAATTAAGGCTGGGGTAACCTAACTTTTTCCCTTCATATGTATTTAATGTAGTTTGTCCAACAGAACGTCTTGTAAAACGGTTCATTAATAAATCAGACCACAGCATGTTGTCTTTATCTTATTAGAAAACATATTATATTTTGCATACTTGTAAGGAAGAGTCTTCGATTTGACTCTTTGGCTGGGAGCTGATTGGCTGAGTGAGGGTGGTCCTCTCTTTATCACTTTTCTGTCTCAAAAAGATGATCCAAAGATGTGGTAGAAGCCAAAAAAATGTCAATGTAGAAAACTAGTGATAGAAATAAATTGTTTTGGAGCAAGCTGGTGCCAAGGGTTTGATAACTTCCATGATACCCCAGCTTCGGTTGGAAAATGAAAACACAACCTCTCAATTAAAACAGGAAAACAAATGAGAACCACATGCAACAAAAGGTTGAGCTCATTGACTCTGTATTTTGCAACATTTCCAAATAAAAACTAAAAATACAAATATACAGTTCCAACATGTCCTCAGCCATCATTCAAAAATAAATTACTTTTGAGAGTATTATTGAAGGCATGCTGTAGAGACACATGCTGGCCATAGGGGGCGCTCTGTCTGACCTCACCTGACAGAGGGGACTGGCAAGGGGAGAGCAGCTTTGTGGGGGAGGTGGCAGGGGAAGACTCCACATCCTCCCCTGGGTTCACACGGACACAGAGACAGACAGAGAGACAGATAGAGAAAGACAGAGAGACAGACAGAGAAAGACAGAGACAGACACAGAGACAGACAGAGAGAGACAGACAGAGACAGACAGAGAGAAAGACAGAGACAGATACAGACACAGAGGCAGAGACAGACAGGCAGAGGCAGACAGAGAGACAGACACAGAGACAGACACAGAGACAGACAGAGACAGAAACAGAGAGAGACAGACAGAGACAGACAGAGACAGACACAGAGACAGACAGAGAGACAGACACAGAGACAGACAGAGAGACAGACACAGAGACAGACAGAGAGAGAGAGACAGAGACAGACAGAGAGACAGACAGAAAGACAGACAGAGAGAGACAGAGAGACAGACAGAGACAGACAGAGAGACAGACAGAAAGACAGACAGAGAGAGACAGAGAGACAGAGAGAGACAGACAGAGACAGACAGAGAGACAGACAGAGACAGGACATGAAACATTGGGTTAGTTTTGTGAATGGCGACGGACAGGACCTTAAGTGCACACATTTATACATCCTGTCACAAATAACATTAACACCAGACACCATTATATTAATGGAAGGGTAAAGAGAGGATTATTCTTTAGGAAAGTCAACAAAGCAGCTCGTTTCAGGCTCCTCCTACAGCTCACAGAGGACCTGGTCGTTTCTTTAGTTGAATACAAACTAACCCCTTTGCGCAGTGGGTTATTGTAATCATATTTCACGACATTTCTTTCCTTCTTTCATGTAAGTGAAGTGTAGAATCATCAAATTACTTTTTAATAAACTAAGTAGTGTACTTAGATAGATAGATAAATAGACAGATAGATAGATAGATACTTAAAGTTCTCCAAGATGAATGCTGTTGTGATTTAGGACTATACAAAAGTAAATTGAATTGAATTTTGTACAGTGCAGTTCAGAGAACAGAAGAAAAGGGCTAAAGGAGCAGAGTAAGTTTTTTTATATCTATCTATAGAGACTAAGGCACAATCTGAAATGATTTTTCACAAATGCAGAGAAAATGTGTTGAGTGAATGGCCTGCAATTGATAAATACAAGATATTTATAGGATAATAAGTATTTGTAGGACAGGATAAAGTGCAGTAATAGTATATTCTTTCATAGACTGATTGTTGATACCGTTGGTGCCGGTGTGCTGCTTCTTCTGCACCTCCTGACGGTACTCCTCCAGTGCTTGGTCTGTGAGTTCATTGAAGGGGTTTGGAGGCTCAGGTTCTGGAGGAAGCACAGGCGGACTCACTGGAGACTGCGGAATAACATACAAAAGACAATCATCCACAATTATGACACTTTGATTCCACTAATTTACATTGAATGAATTTGCGCGCACATCAACAGCAACATTGTGCTTGGTTTGAATAATGTCAGTATACATGTTGAACCGGGGCCACGTTGAAGTTTCCTTCCAGGACCATTTAATCCAGAACATCTCTTCCATGTTATAACGTAAGGGTTTAAAAATAGGGAGACTCGTTCAAATCATACAACCACACGGATCTGAGGTGTTTTAAAGGACTGCCCCAGATAGAATGGTATGAACCACAGAAGGCGGGGTTACTGGACACCAGACTGTCTAAAATCATTCAAAACATTGTATTTTTAATAAATTAAGAAAATTAAGAAATAAACTATTTACACTTGAAAGGATCACAACATTTAGATTTTACTTTCAGATCAGCAGTCTGCTGCCATTCTTTTTTGGGGGGGGGGTCTATCCTGTAAACTTTCAATCAAGGATATAATACTTATTTAAAATTATTTATTTCTGTCCTAGTTTTCTGTTTAGTACCAAAAGCATAGTAAAAAATTGACTCTATCCATTTACCGGGGGACTGTCTTCACTGATGACGGCGGCGAGGACTTGGGACTGTGGGCCGGCTGTCTTCATGTCCTGGCGATTCTGTTGTCGAATCTTAAAAAACATGAAGGAAAAAGATGATTGGAATGGAACAAATCTCACACACATACGGTTTATGTTGAACTGACCTTGTTCCGTGTCTCAATCACCTCCCGTGGATTGGTGAAAAGAGGCACAAACTGGTTGGTGGTTTCGATTTTGATGGGAGTGCTTCCAGCTTGGGTAAACTCATCTGTTTTCATCCACTGTAAAGAATAACATGTTTTGAATTTAACATTACAACATCAAAGTCCAACCAAGTTTCATAAATGTTTAGTTTTTTAGCTTTAGCAGTTGAAAATCCTGGGAAATTTTTCTTTAGTTCTCATCTCGTGCAGACTCATTATTTGAATGTTTGTTTTTGACGCTGTAGTGAGACTGCAGTCTATGGCCAGTAGAGGGCAGCCCGGGCACTGCAGTGTGCAGGCTTCCCCTGCAATGCAGAGAGGAGAGGGCCATGACTGTACTGGGCTTGGGCCCATCTGAAACTCACAGGGAGGCTCCGCCCACTGAGCCGTGTACGTGACAGAGGAAATCCACTGCAGAAAAACAGCAGCATGTTTTGACTATAACATGTGACACATTAGCAGCCTCTCCTTACCATATATTAACTCTACCTTATCATAGTGTTAGCTTACAGTTATCTGAATGTTTACTATGTTCTGACTACACAATTCCTTTTACTATTATCACAAATGCCTTTTGATGGTTGTGATATAAAGGAGCCTCTTTGTATGACCACTTTATATGTAATGAGTGGGACGAATAGGATTCATTCAGGGCTGTAGAAAAGGCTTTCGGACAGTGTGTACTGACCATCTCTTATTTTATTATTTCATATCATTTTTGTTATTTTTTTTTCTAATTTCTTTACTGAAGAATGATTCACATTTCAACAACATGAATTATTTCCTGTAAATATTCTCAATACACAATGCATGTTACGGTCCCTTTAAACAGTGCTTCCTTCCAGAGCTGTCTCACCACTGTGCGCTGGTGTCCAGGACTGGCCTGCTCCTGGTTGATCTTCTGGTAGGAGTTGGGGGTGTTGAGCCAGCGCGTCCGCTCCTGCTGCTGCTTGTTGACAAAGGGGTGCTGCCTGAGAGCTGGGTGCCCCCCGTCCTCATCAAAGGGGTAGAACCCTGTGACTGTGGGGGGCACCTCCACGTCCCGCCGCATCCGAGAGCGCTCCAGCAGCAGGGGGAAGCGGTATGTGTAGCCTGTGCGATAGCCCTGGGACACATGACAACAAACTTTCATTATTGTTAAGTAAAGGTGAAATTTAAAAAAATAGAATATTGTTCATATACAGTATCTGGTAAACAAATCTTGAGCAAAACTTTGTCCATGAGCACATCCCTATTGGGCTTCATTGAGCTTATTGGGTGAGCATTGTCCACCCAGGCATTCATCCAGTCTATGTTCACAGCTTGTAAAAACTCCAAAGAAAACATCTCAGAAAATGTGAATATTTTGATAATGGACTGTAAGCTAAAATCATAAGTCACTTTGCATGTTTTTCATATTTGAATTACAGAAATAACTGAACTGAATGTATTATTTAAAGCTGCACTAACTGACTTTATTTTTGTATTCATTACAAAAAAGCTATCCATGTCCATGCAGTGCATTGGGATATTCGTCCTTTTGAAGAAAGGACGAATATCCCGGTTCTATCGTTCTATGGTCACGCCATCCACGTGAAAATCCATATCCATGTATTTATCCATATTGGGAGACACTAGCTCCGTCCCAACAGTGGGTGTGTGTGGGGGTGATAGCTTCGTGGGTGCGGGGAGGGGAGCAGAAAGAGCGAGGCCAGCGGGTCCGCGGCTTCAAAATCCCAAAGTCAGTTAGTGCAGCTTTAATTCATAAAATAAATCTTTAAATGTCCATATTGTGCCCATATTGTGAAAGATTACAGCCAAAGACCAACATTTCCACGCCCTCCCCCAGGACACACATGAGTCAGGGCTGTGGAGATGCTTTCATCCCACTTCTTAACCACGGAAAGGCTTTTACAGTATGTTTTATTTTGAACATCAGCTGTGCACTCTTTACTGCTCTCTTTAAAAGTTAGATACTTACATTGTTTTTTCAGGATGAAATAAAAATCACATCCAGAATAATAAAATTTTAAAAATTCACTAAAAGTTCAAATTAAGTTAAGCTATACCTTTTTGTCTCTGAAGTTTGACCTCTGCATTTGACCCATTCTGTAATGATTTTGTACAGGTTTTTAATGGTAGGAGAAATTGGAGCAGATATTTCTCACAGAAAGAGGGAGAACATGCAAACTCCACTTTGTTGCAGCCCACTTCCGACTGCGATTTAAACCCTGACACGTGCCGTCCATTAGCATTTACTATGGTGTAAAATACAGATATCTATTTGTATCCATGTCCTATGAGACACTGCCAAAAAATGTGTTAATCATCACTTCATTATTACACGCTTCTCACCAGATTGTCCATGGTACGCATCAGAGCCTCAAATTCGTGCTCTCCGGTGCGACTCTTGCTCATGGGGCCGAAGGTGGAGCCGGCCCAGCCCACGGTCCCTGCCGGAGCCGGTCTGTGTGCGCTGCGGTCCAACACGATCAGGTTCTGCTCCCCGCCAGAGGAACACAAAGCCGACACCTGCACGAAGAGACAAGACAACTGAGGCTTCTGCTGCAGTGCACATGTACGACAAGGCTTTCGGATGTTGAAAATGACAAGTTAAAGGAAACACTGACGGAGCACGTGGAGGAGAGAGAGTGGTACCCTCAGTTACAGCGAGTGATGGTAGACAGGTGTATGGTCAGAGAGTGTTTGGGCTTGTGGTTTGTCTGGATGTGGGTGTTTTGTGCTGTAAAATGAGGGGCTGGAGCCATACAAGCTTCTATTCTGTCCAACCCATTTCTGTTTATTTTGTATGCAGTATGATTTTTGTTCTGAAGTAAATATATTTGATTGATTGAAATTAACAAGTGTGTACCAGACTGTGATCATGAGCTCTGGGTTATGACCGAAAAGTCAAGAGTTCAGTGGGTGCTTTCTCAGAAACGCAGCAGAAGATCCATGACACAACAGAACTTACTCTTTCAATTTCAACTTTATTCTTCACAACATCCCAGATAATCGATACTTTTAAAATCTATGCAGAACTTTGTGACATTGTGAAAATAGGACACTCTAGCTAGGAAGCTCATAGAGGAGGTCTGGCAAAATAAAATATTAGCTGGAGGAAGGTGGAGCAAATGAGGAAAATGTATCTTGTTTTTTTTTTCTTTCAAAAGTTAAATGAAATATGAAAAAGAAAAAAAGAAATGAAGCTGAAGCGCAGATTCAGACTGAAAGACCGGCCACGGCTCTCACCCGTCCAGGGCCTGCCAATCACACAGCTCTGCCAGCCTCTTGACAACCCACTGACAGCAAAGCAGGCAGTTAAAAGCAGCCACTCCCCGATAAACGGCGCTTCCTGGAGCTCTTAACATTCACCACCTCCCCAGCGCCTCCTCGGCTCCTGGTTCCTACTCGGGTTTCCGCTCTGGCTCCTGCCCTGGTTCCTGCTCTGGCTTCTGCTCTGGCTCCTGCCCTGGCTCCTGATTTGGCTCCTGCTCTGGCTCCTGCTCCGCCTACGCCCCATTCACACCATGCTTCTAGCCACCACCAGTGCTTGACCCCGGGGGGTCTGAGATCATCTACAGCAGCAGTGATCTTCCCTCTGCAAGTGTCACTGCCGCGGTCAATGCGCCAATCAAATAAATATTTTTCATGCATTAATGTTACTGTCTTGGTCTCTTCAGATTGAATAAGCTGGAGGAAGTGCGCGTATATAGGTTGTCTTGTTGTATATTAGCTGTAGTAGCAGTAGTAGCAGTAGCAGGAGAGCATGTACAAACTGGACCAAAGGAAGGTGCTGTGTCGCTGCAGGGTGGAGTCGGAGTTGGAGGATGTGACAAATGTCCTATTGTGCAGCTCCTGTTACACTTTCTTTTAGACTGATGACTCCACATTTTAATAGTGCAGTTTGGCAGGAGCCCTGGTGTATTTCTCTGCAATGCAGCGCTGATCTTTGCAGCTACAAAAAAAAAAACACATTCTGCATTTACTGCATTTAACATGGACCACTCTCCTTCACACACTCTCACGTGTGCAAACGCAGCACTTCTCTTAAAGGGACACTGCTCTGTTTGTGTTTTATCCATCTCAAGTCAATGGTATAGTATTAGCACGAGACATGTCATTCTTACTTTCATATCTTTGAAAATAACATTTCAGCAACAAATCCTCAAATGTCATAAATGTTCATTTAATTGGTGGTAGAATATGTCTTTCGAGGATAAAATAAAAAGTAATTTACACAATATCTGAATATAATAATATCTGTAAAATGTATAAAATGTGTGGAAAAATAAAACATTACTACTTACTATTATTTGTGTTCATTTTGATCCTTAAAAATGATATAGACAAAGGAGCTGCAAAGAGGGCCATGCTTAGGCTTTTAGGAAGTAAAATTCCCAATGTCTAATCCCCAATAGATATTCACACTTACAAAAGATTGAAAAAGTTAAAAAAATTTAAAAGTCTAATATGAGGAATAACTCCAGGGGTGTTTTCGAGGGAACAAAGTTGTAACGTGGTAAAAAGTACAAGAGAGAAAATGTTGCTTTCAGTCTCGCTTTTACTTCTTCTTAACAGACACTTTTATATAATGGTCATTCTAGTCAAAGCCTCACCTGTATTTGACACGCTGCTTGTATGTGGTAGACAGAGTAGAAGGCCTCCTCCACAGTCTCCCCCAGAGCCACGATACCATGGTTTCTCAGCACAAGCACCTGTAACAAATACATGTCATAAAACCAGTGTATCTCTGTGATTTAAATATCCTGATGCCCGATACAGAATTAAGAACACTTTATCAATCACAGAGTTTGATTTCAAAAGTTCTGTTATAAATTACATAAATAAAAACGCTCAAGGTAAGTTCTTTTTGACACTCTTAAAATTATATTTGTTAAAGATAGATAGATAGATAGATAGATATATAGATACTTTATTGATCCCCGTAGGAGAAATGCATGTGTCCAGTAGAAGAAAGTCACTTTGTAAAGATGGAGAGACATTTCTAATGCAAGCACCAGTTAGAGCCGTCTCAGCAAATATTACTGGTGGTGGTAATGCCAGGAGGAGAGCCGGCTTTAAATCTATTATCTATGATTGAAACTACAGGGTCAGATGGTGAAAAACGTATTCCTATTCAAGTTGAATTATGATACAAAATCACTTTTCAGTACAATAATATTGGTTTTATAGAAAAAGCATGGAGCCCCAAAATACATGCAACCCCTGCTCATCCACTTTAAGTATAAAGTATCTAGTAATGTTGCATATTTGACTGTCAACATTTCCTATTTGTTTAGAAATCCCTTAAAATAATGATTTTATCAAAAGTCTGGCAAAAAACTATATATATTCTGGCAATCACCGTACAAACTTCTGGAGGTTTGTGCACTAACTTTGCAAGTGGGACCCAGGCTTTTCTGCAGCTCCACTCGTTCCTCCTCCTGCTCCATGACGCCGTTGTAATCGTAATAAGCAACTTCTCCGACCAACATGGCCTCGTGAGAGAGCGGCAGCAGCCCAGACTTCATGTTGGACACCTGGACACATTTTACATTGTCTTTTGTTATGACATTTTGCAATGCTATTAAGAGATTACGAGACACTGAAGATGCATTTGTAATTCAACCTCAAAAAGTGCTCAATTTACAGACTATCTTCACTGTATCATAAATGTAAAAAAGAGAGGGAGAGGGATGAAAACACAAAATCGGAGCTCGGTTTTAGGTCAATGACAGTGGGCAGTGAAGACAGAGGAGTAAAACCTACACCTTAAATATAAATATCTCCTACACATTGACAGCTTGGCTTTTTACAGCTGCAGCCGCCCACTGAGGCAGCTGGTGTTCCCAGAGGTCTCCCATTGTAGTACTAATCAGGTCCTGCCCTGCTTAGCTTCAGGGGTCAGATGACATGTAAACTTTGATGCTGGCAAATATTATTCTTTGATGAGGCAAATATGGCACGTTGATAGTTAAAAGTGCACATTTTTTTTACTCTATTTTTATGTTGTCAAGGGTGAATTACAATGTTGTTTTTAAATATTAAAGGAGGTTTTAAAACAGCCACGAATATAAGGTTTGCATAAAAAAATTAGAAGAATGCAATTATCTCTATTTTTTTATCACCTTGAACCCTTTAACGTTCACTCCTTGAAGAAAGTATTTGTTGTTATGTTTCTTTTTTCTTTTTTGAACCCCTAGTTTTCTCATTTGTCATGGTGTAGACATTTTGACCTGGTTTTATTTTGCTATATACCGTATACGTTCTTATGTAGTTTGAGTTTTCTTCTTCCCTGTCCAGTTGATTGCTGCCCACTCACTTGTTGTCCGTCCATTGTCTCTACCACGTTTGTCTTGTGTAGTTTTTCAGTTCTGGATTATTGTCACTCTGGATTTGTCATGTGTTATGTCATTGTCTACCACTTTATTAATCCATTTCTGGGTCGGAGGGGTGACAATCAGAGCTGCCACCCAAGTCTCATAGCACCTGATCCTCCTGCAGGTGGATTTGGATTTTATTAAATTATATTTGATTTTCAGTCTTGCATTTTGGGTTCCTCCTTCATGCATTTCACCACGTGACATAATTATAGGCCTTTACCAAATGGTTGAAAAGCAGTTTGATGATAACAGTGCCTACAACCGACTGATATGCCCCAAAGAGATATTTTTCAGTTCCAAGCTTCAAGTAGAAATAATTAAACCATTAAAGGGTTAAGATCCCTAATATATAAATATATAATAGAATGGTTACATGATGAAGATACATGTATATTCATTATAGCTAATTACTTGTTGTGCAATATTCAGAATCATTTCATATCTAGTGGTATGTTATGTGTTCACTCACGGCAGCTGAGGCTGGGGTCTGAAGGTGCAGCAGGCAGCGGACATCAGGGCGAGCCGAGTAAATGGCCGAATGAAGACTGAACTTGTCCAAATCCACACCCAGGTTAGTGCTGCCCCTCTCCACCACCTCGCCCAGGAGGTTCACTTTAACCTGAGAACAACAGCACGTCTTTTTCAAACAGAATACTCCATTATGTCCCAAATGGTTTGTGTAAAATGACATGAGTTAAAGCAGAATTAGTCAAAAGATAATGAATGTGTGAAACAAAAGGTGTTTACTGACCAGACTGGAGCCGGTGACTTCACTGTAGGCGAGACCGTCGGGGAGCACCAAGAAGTGTTCCTGCTCTTTACTCACACGCAGCTGAAATGCAAACATCATTTACTCAAACGTTGTATACTGTAGTAGAGTAGATCATTCCACAGAGCCACCTAAAGCTTTGTGTACGATCAGGAAAATGGATTTACCAATGGACAATTCCCCGGGACTGAACAAAGAGAAATCCATGTCAGATTTTTTAAGTATTTCTTCAAGTCAAACATGTCCAACTGCAGCAATAGAACTCAAACGTTTCCCACTTTCTATTGTCATAAAAAACAACACATAAAAGTAAGAACAATTCACAAAAGCTCAGAAAGCACACACAAACTTTCAGCCACTTGACAAAAACTCAGGAGCTAAAGGAGCATTTTATTCAGAAGTGCATAGAGAATGTAAAGTTTTATATGGATAAAAACGTTTGTTGTGTGAAAACGTAGCTTAACGTTTATTTGTAAAAACTGGAAACAACAGATTGTCGCAGATTATGGACCAGACATTTACGCTACTGAAACATTTGCACCTGAGTTTGACCTGTTGGAATGTTTTAATCAGGAAATATTTTTAAATAAAGAAAGGCAAATATATTGAGTAGTAATGTAGAAACTTGACGCATATCTTTTTTTTTTTAAATAAACTGTTTTAATTCAGTTTTGTAAATTGTCTTTTCTTAATACTTTATTTTTGAGTTTTTGCCTTTAGGGTTAGATTGGTCAAAACGTCATAATTCAAAAACATAAATGGGCAGCAATTATAAAGCAAAGGAAATAACACTAATAACACATCTAAAAAAAAGATTAATTTATGTTATTATTATCATTCAATCTTTGTATTTATTTATTTTTGTGTATTATTTTTTTTATAATTGAATGTTTGTTATTATTTTATCTACGTTTTTGTCTATATTCTTTGTTATGTAATTGTCTGTTTTACGATTTATGTGGTCATTAAATAAAAAAAAATCTTCCTTCCGTAGTTTTTGCATCTGTCTTTCTGTGCTTTGAGCGTCTGTCCATCACTGCCCTCTGCTGTGCGTAGGTTGCCATGGAGCTATAATAATAACTGGATAGGGTAGTACCATGGATCTATAATAATAACTGGATAGGGTGTTACCATGGAGCTATAATAATAACTGGATAGGGTGTTACTCATGGATCTATAATAATAACTGGATAGGGTGTTACCATGGAGCTATAATAATAACTGGATAGGGTGTTACCATGGAGCTATAATAATAACTGGATAGGGTAGTACCATGGAGCTATAATAATAACTGGATAGGGTGTTACTCATGGATCTATAATAATAACTGGATAGGGTGTTACCATGGAGCTATAATAATAACTGGATAGGGTGTTACTCATGGATCTATAATAATAACTGGATAGGGTAGTACCATGGATCTATAATAATAACTGGATAGGGTAGTACCATGGATCTATAATAACAACTGGATAGGGTAGTACCATGGATCTACAATAATAACTGGATAGGGTGTTACCATGGATCTATAATAATAACTGGATAGGGTGTTACCATGGAGCTATAATAATAACTGGATAGGGTAGTACCATGGATCTATAATAATAACTGGATAGGGTGTTACTCATGGATCTATAATAATAACTGGATAGGGTAGTACCATGGATCTATAATAATAACTGGATAGGGTGTTACCATGGATCTATAATAATAACTGGATAGGGTGTTACCATGGAGCTATAATAATAACTGGATAGGGTGTTACCATGGAGCTATAATAATAACAGGGACGTGCGGTGAGGTTTGTGATTGGGGAGGCACTGACTTTAAAAGTCAGATTTACAATCATTATTCAAATAAAATAGCATTTAATCACCAATGCAATGACATCCACAAACTTTATATACTGTAAAGATAAGAGAACCAGCTTCTTTTAATAATCTCACAACAAATCTAGCTGCTGACTCTGCTCCGCATCAAACAACATCTTTAAGAAGCGCAGGTGCGAGAGACGCGAGGAGAGAGAGACGCGAGGAGAGAGGAGCAGAGAGAGACAGAGAGGAGCAGAGAGACGGAGACGCGAGGAGAGAGAGAGACGCGAGGAGAGAGGAGCAGAGAGAGACAGAGAGGAGCAGAGAGAGACGGAGACGCGAGGAGAGAGAGACGCGAGGAGAGAGGAGCAGAGAGAGACAGAGAGGAGCAGAGAGACGGAGACGCGAGGAGCAGAGAGAGACGGAGACGCGAGGAGAGAGAGACGCGAGGAGAGAGAGACGCGAGGAACATAAACAATAATTTAAACAAGTTGCAGAACTCTTGAGCAGTGTTTGAATCAGTGTTTTTCGGAAAAGCACTACTTTGCCGGTATCTGTCAATGTTCAACATAAAACACAGATTAACAAACTCCTCCCCCGCAGCCGGACTAACCTCGTAAGTCCAGTGGTGGTCTCCCAGTCTATATTAATTCTTTCTTTGTTTGAAAGTCCAATTGAGAAAAAAAATCTTCATTCAAATCATCCATTTTCCAGCAAAAGAAATAGCATTTTGGGCTGATTGTTTGTTAGCAACTCTGGTATGAACTTTATGCTCACTATCACCCCTAGCGGTGAGGCACAGATACCGCCTGCCTCACGCCAAGCTTTTTCCTTGTGTGTTCATCTACGATCAAAAGACTTAAACTAAATATAAATTGTACACACATACGTGCAATACACTACTAAACACTAAGAGGAGTTTAAAAAATGTTTTTAAAGCAGGATATTTGAAACAAACGGTGATATATCAACTGCACGAGCTGAGTGCACTCAGACACACACACACACACTGTGAGGGAGCGGTCTGGGGTGAGGCACGCAGGAGCGCTGCCTCACCTCGTCTCTTTGAATAGGAATAACGGGATTTCGGCGATTTTGACTTCAGAAATGATCAAAACTGATGGGAACCGTGCCGAATATACATTAAAAGCATAGGACAGTGGATATAAATTATATATTTAAACTAAAATAATTATTAGTTTCCAATAATGGCAGGTGAGGCTCTGCCTCCCCTGCCTCCCCTGACTGCACGTCCCTGAATAATAACTGGATAGGGTGTTACCATGGAGCTATAATAATAACTGGATAGGGTAGTACCATGGATCTATAATAATAACTGGATAGTGTGTTACCATGGATCTATAATAATAACTGGATAGGGTAGTACCATGGATCTATAATAATAACTGGATAGGGTGTTACCATGGAGCTATAATAATAACTGGATAGGGTGTTACCATGGAGCTATAATAATAACTGGATAGGGTAGTACCATGGATCTATAATAATAACTGGATAGTGTGTTACCATGGATCTATAATAATAACTGGATAGGGTAGTACCATGGATCTATAATAATAACTGGATAGGGTGTTACCATGGAGCTATAATAATAACTGGATAGGGTATTACTCATGGATCTATAATAATAACTGGATAGTGTGTTACCATGGATCTATAATAATAACTGGATAGGGTATTACTCATGGATCTATAATAATAACTGGATAGTGTAGTACCATGGATCTATAATAATAACTGGATAGGGTATTACTAGTTTATAGCTGTCCCACCCACGGGCACAGGGGGCGCCCGTGGTACTGCAGACTAAATTTACGCACACACAAACTCACCCACACAGACATAAACAAGTCCGCCTTTATCTGCAGCATTTATGTGATTTTTCATTCTGATTCAAAAACAATACATCTCTCACAGATTACAATGCACACAGTCATCACTAACATCACCACAACACTTTCAAAACAATGTGTCATCATTGCAATCTCACCATTCACACGTGTTCAAAGAATTAGTTTTTGGCTGTTACTGAAATGATGGTCGCATTTAAAGCTGTGTTACCTCACTTTTTTGTTTCGTAAATAATACATGAAGTCTGGCCCAACAGGATGTAAAAGGCCATATTATATTGAGCTTATCTTAAAAGTGTTATATGAGGCTTTGGGCAGAGAGCTGATTGGCTGAGTGAGGGTGCTCTTCTCTTTTTCACTTTTCTGTATGAGAAGCTTATCCTGTTTCAGAGCCAGGAACTAATTACACGGATTTTATTTCATAGTTTAAAAAGGTGGATTAAAAGTTACCCCAGCTTTAATAAATCCCTTTTCTAACTTTCACGGCACTCCAAGCACTTTACTTCAACCACTCAAACAGAATTTAAATGCATACATTGTATATCATGTGATTCATCTATCAGGTTTGTGTGACATCACAACATACAAAAAGCCTATAGTTTAACATTGTGGTGGAGGACAGTTGAAGAAACATCAGAAATATATAGTCTTAGTTTTGACCTAATTTCCTTATAGTCCCTGGGTCAATCCATATGAAGCTAAAAATGTCATGCATCTTCTTTTAAATATGGACTAATTATTTTCTCATGAAGTACTGACTATGTATTAAGTAATCACCATAAATACGGACATTGTCTTCAATCAAAAATCCCAATAGAGTTGAATTGGCACCTAAAACAACGCAAACTACCAGTATTCCCATCCATAAATCCCGTAAATCTCTGCTCAAATCACCGGTTATACATAGACCACGTTTATCTCATGTTTTGCAGGAGGAGGATGCTCACCGTGAGGCAGGTGTGGCGGAGGTGGGCCCAGCCGTGGAGGTCGAATAGCCGATAAACCGAGGCCAGCTTACACCTCATGATCCTCTCCCCCTTCACCAGACGCCCGGGCTCCCAGCTCTGCAGGTCGTTTATGGGGGTCACCGTCATCATGTCTGCACAGAGACACACAACACACATTGAGAAACCTGATTGTATTGAAGCCTTACACAACACACACACACACACACACACATCACACACTGTTCCACATGAAATAACAGTCTAGAGGCGAGCAGACTGTTCCGTTTTCCTTTTGCTGGTTATTTTTAGATAGACAGAAGGACATTTTTAGATAGACAATAGACATTTTCCCTTTTTCTTTTGCTGTGAAGGTTCAGGCAAGGTAGGATTTGGTGAAAAAAAATATATCATGAGTATTGCCAAGTTAAGGACTTCTTAACAATACATAACATACATATTGATTCTTTGTTATGTCACTGTATACTGCAACAGTCCAGAAAGTAAAACGTTGCCAACAGAGACTAGGTCTATAGAGGCACATGGAGAGAAAGACCAGGGCATACAGACAACGCCACAATAGCTTGAATCCCAGAAAATGACTATTTTTACTTTACACAGATGATTTAGCACCATGATGGATAAATATAGGCCAAAATGTGTGATCTATGTGTCGTACTGTTTGGAGCCACCGGCAGGCTGGCGGGAGATCCGTGTGAGGACATGTAGTCGGCCAGCTGCCTCAGAGCCCACAGGTTTGACGAGCTTCCCCCCTTCTTCATCTGCTCCTGGATCAGCCCGTCCAGATCCTCTCGGAACGACTTGCAACAGACAAGAAAGACGTAAGAGCTATAAGGCAGGATTAAAGTTGACTTTATCATGTGAATAGAACTAATACCTTGAATCAAGTGAGAACAGTCACAAGACAAGAAACATTGAAGAAGATGACATAGTCTGGGATCGCGTCTTTAATTCAGACAGAAGACTTGTTTTATTGTCGATGGTAGAGACAGCACGAACAACAAATACAACAGAATGCAAGTGTATTATACAGAGCGGAGGCATGGAGTCCTCCAATCAGCAGCTGCCACGGTGCCATGTAGCTTGGCCTTCAGATAGACAAAACAAAGGAAAAGTACTGGCTTCTGCACATTGATAGAATGATGAGTTTAACTTTAACAAAAGTTGCTTAAAAGTGTTATGAAATCTCACAACATGACATTTACATATTTGTTTGTAACAGTTCCGAATCTTCTCTTTGCTGTTGTCAAAACAAATCTTTTAACTCCACTTGCTATCGGCTGCTATCGCTAAAATCAGCTGTGTACGCTGAGGGCAGATGGGGGTGTTAGGTGACGATGTACGTACAGGTCTCCAGACTTAATGTAATGTAATGTAATTTAGATTTAACTTTAACTTTATTGACCACCAAAGCAGAAAATTGTCTTTGGTACACTGACACAGTAACAAACATTTGTCATACATAAATAAGCTGCATTTAAATAGTGTGCTGCACATTCCACATATCATTCACTCATGTGTTTTTAGAGAATGAAGCAAAACACAAATGAGCCTTTAAACACCTCTGTATGATCCACAGAGGATGTTCTGCTGTTTATGTCCTGATCCTGACTGTGGCTGACTATAAAGAACTCTTCCTGCTTGATTTGTTAGCTACAGTCAGATAAATTGAGCTTACAGAAACGCTGAAAACAAGAGTCCTCTCAATTAGACCATCTCCAAAATAAATTTTCATTTACCCCTGAGTGAACTGAGCCAGTTGCAGTGCATTAATGTTCAGAGAAAACATGTTTTCTCTGAACATGTTTTCTCAGAACACAACCTCTGTTTAGAACGACTTTTGACACAGAACATTCAAGGGCGTTTTTTGCAGTCGATCAGAAAGTCTCTAATCCAGTGAAAGATCCCCGTTCACTCCCAGAGCAGAGAGCTGTCTGAGAAGAATGTCAGGGGTCTCTGTGTTAGAGGCCGAAGTCAGATAGTATAGAATGTGTGAACAAACTGCAGGTAACAAGCTACAATAGGTGACCAGAGTCCAGAGAGAGGCCTGTCCTTCTGCGAGCAACAAATACACCTGCTCCTTCTCAGCTTCTACTGTTTATGGATCGCTCTCGTGCATTCTCTCAGCGCTGAAGTGAGCCCAGACACTGTAAACATGTATGACAGACCTTAATATTTGTTTTATAAATGAACTACAACACTAGTTCTACACTTGTTCGTCTTCTCCTTTATTTTAGTCAGAATCAGAATCAGAATCAGAATCATTTTTATTGCCACGTAAGTAACAGGAGGTCACAGACTTGGAAATTGCTTTGGCTCAGTGCAACAGTCAGAAAGAGATAATAAAAATAAGAATAAAAAACACTTCTAAAGAATAAATTTAAATTTAAAATAGTTGATCCTTACAATAGTTACTAACGCTAACGCACCTAAGATTAGCTTATCGTTTCAAACCGCTTCTTCTCCAAAACCTATTAATTCTGATTTGTTTGTTTTAGGCCAAGATGTAGCTGTTAGTTGTCACATATTTGACTGTGACCCCAGAAGTGGGAGATTATCACATTATCACATGAATGGGAAAATATCCTCAAGATTAAAATGTAAATGCTGGAACTATACGCAGTGACATCATTCAAAACTTGAATCGTTGAGCTCATAAATATCATGTGATCACGCTCTAGCCTGTCCTTTCCCAGGCCTGGAGTCTGTGAGTGATGTTGTCCGTGTACTTCACAGTGACAGTAATCTATAGAGAGCTGAGGGCAGTAAATCCGGACTCACTGGGCTCTGGAGCAGGCTGGAGATGCGCTTCTTCATCTGGGATCCGCTGTCGGACTGGGGCGACTGCAGACCCTCCAGGACGCCATCACTGGGACTCCTCTGCACCGGAGTGCTCTTGGGCGTGGGAGACTTACTCATCTTCTACTGAGAGTCTGGAGCCTGCTGAACGAGAAGAGCTGCGGAGGAGAGAGAACCAGAACATGAAAATAAACTGTATTGTCACGAAGTAAGAACAAACATCAATAATCACAGAGGTTTTTTATATAGCTCTATGCACAGCTAAACCTGTTAAAGACCATGACACACAGACATCAACATAAGCACAGATTGACTTTTTTGAAAAATCCCTTATTGTCCAGGTTCTAAAAAGCTAGTTAATGAAGTAATATAAATATTGGCAAAATTAATCATTTATGAAAATTATTGTTAATTACAATCCCTGAGGTCTCCTTCACTGTGAGTGTCCAGGAGGTTTTTTATGCTGAAGGACTGGGGTCTAAGGAGGAGAGGATCCACGGGACATTAATGTACCTTACTTTGAAAACACAACAAAGTAACTGTAATAAACTACAGCATTTTCTGTTTTCTCTTTCAAACAAAATTGTTGTTTGGCATTTAAAATATCAGTGATAAAACACTACAAGATTAATATGGAGATCATTGATAAATAATTTCGTAATGGAAAATTAATTGGTGCACACTCTTTAGAATGCTTTTATGTAAAAATAAATAAATAAACAAATAAATCAAAATAAAAAGAAGAATGTACATGGTCTTTTGGAAGTTACACGCTTTTTTACTGTTTTTTGCTAAGAGAAAAATGAATATTATGCATGCAACACCAATATTTCCCCTCTGTGGGACGAATAAAGTATCTCTAAATCTTAAAGCGTTGGCAAAAATATATGAGCGTTTTGCTGTATTTATCAGGTTCAAGTCTTATTCACAGAAATACTAAAAAACTAACCAAACTAAACAATCACCAACAGAAGAATAAAATTAATTTTGTACTTTTTCAAATTTGTATTATGACTATATTGTATACCAGAAACTCCCATGGAGAAACACAGAACATCAGCCTGCAGAGAAATAGACAGTGAAATGATACAAACAGCCTTCAGACATGAGGTGAATACGAAATACGAGATCTGGCAACAAGCAGACGACAAACCGCTCTTTAGTCCACGGTATATCACATTTCACTGCTGTTTCATCACCTCCCAAAACAACCAAGGCTAAAAGGACCAAGCTTTTCTCTGAACATAATTTAGTCCTACCTCGCTTTACTTTGCAGTTCCTGTGTCCTTGTGTGGAATGAAAACCAATTAGATCTAAGTGGCTTCTTGCAGACAAATCAGACAGGAAGTTGTCCAGTGATGGCGTTGGTAATAGGAGAAAGAAGACTGGGTTACCGTAAGCACCTAAGCCACTCCCAGAAAGACAAAACGAACACACGCAAAAACTGGAGGCTGAAGATAAGGGCCCTGAATGCACCACACCCTTCAGAATACACTGTGTAAGCAGCTGGGAGCATCTACAGCAGTTCGGATCAGATTCAGTTCATTTGCAATTTTCCAGTAAAACCACGTTGGAATTACTGTGCAAAAGTGCCTCTACGTGCCAGACAAGTGCATGATACAAAACAAGCTAAAAAGCATGAGAAGCAATTGTCACTGAAAAATTAGCAAAAACAGTACAAGGTCTTTTTTCAGACCGATATCAGCTTGATAGCAGATTCTGGAAGGAAGGTGTTAGCATATCGAGATGTCCTGCTTTCAAGCGAACAATATCTTCTGCCAGAGGGAAGAAGCTGGAACATGGCTTTTCCAGGGTGGGCAGAAGAGTCACTGGTTGCATTGGACGTGTTTCTTACATTTGGATCGAATCTCATTCAATATTGAAATCATTATTATCACTAAGATCAATATTGTATTAGTCTTATCAACAGTGCTTAATAATGTGTGTGGTCCATTGTTATATGTACTTGTGTTATTATTAGTTATGTACATGCTTTCTTGTTGTATTGTCTTGTGTATGATGTTTTTGTCTGTTTTAATGAAAAAGTGTGAAATTAATGGTGGAAAAGCACATAGACATAAAAAGAACAAAACACTCCAATGGGAAAAACACTTTTACCCAATAGATTTATTTTACAGGCCATTGAGGCATGAAGCTACAAGATGACTCGCAATTGAAATATTGTATTTGCATTTGCAAATTCAAAGCTTTTTGTCAAAAAGCTAAATCTCTCATAGTTTTCTCGTATACTTCATCATCCCATATTTCAATCCCTCTGAATGCTTCTTGAACGGTTTACAGTTTGTGCACTAAAATAATCCTCCTGTTTCTTCACACATTGTAGTTTCTTTAGTAAATGTTACCGCCCTACATCAAGGTTAAAAGATGTAGAGAAGCGGCTTTGTCTATTGTGACGATATGTGGTCCCTAAGCCATTAAGAGGGTCCCCAAGAGAGATGGCCTTTCTCTGGGCTCGGTGTCAGCAGCTGTGGCCCTGTTCTCCAGAGACACCCAAACCAGACAACCATCTTCCAACCGGCCACAGAAAGAGCACTGCTGGTGCGGCATAAATGAGCCTCATCCGTCTGAATACATCTGCCATGACAGTTGATGCACTTTGGATTATTGCAGCGAATAAAATCTATGTTTCAGAAATTGGTCAATAATTCCTCAAGATACAAATCTTCAACATGTTTTCTTATTGATAGAACATTTAAAAAGATTTGCTGAAGGTGGTGTACAACTTTATTATTGTTTCACTGAAATAGGGCAAAACAATATATGTTTCTATGAAATGTTTTTTAATGGCATTCCTCTGATTTTGCAAATTACCTATTCAAATAGGCATCAGACTGAATATACTTTCATGCACCTCTAAAGCAAGACACTACAAGCAACCCTATTCCCAAGATCATATAATGTACATTAGTTAAACCATAAGTTCTATAAAGCAAAAAAAACAAAAACAAAAACAACAAATACTCCTTTCCAGTAAAAAAAATTGCTGTTTATTTTAAAAAAACAACAAATCCATATTCTTTGCTCCGAGTTTGGTTATATCAAAAAACAAAATTTCACATAAATTTGGCCTCTGTCAAATCTGACAAAAAGTGAAAATGAGAGAACCTTCACTGAGCCAATCAGCTCTCACCCCAAACAGAGCTCATTCTTACAAGTTTACAAAAAAGTTTTTTTCTAAAGTTTTCTAATAGTAAAGAATATTGTGGTTTGCTTTGTTGACAACATTTTACCTTTACAAGACTCCTTCTATTGGGACTAACAACATGAATTATGTATGCAAAAGATACCCCACTTTAAAAAGAGAAAATATTCCATTCTAGCATCAGTAGCATTGTTTGACTTGAAGTAAACACCGAGCGCATGTGTATTTGCAATGACCACTGTCAGTTGAAAGTAAAGCAGGAAAGAGGAGGTCAGGAGCCGGCAGCCACAGGGAAAGACCTAAAGTGCATTGATTTTCCCTGGCTCCACTTCCATCATTAATGGGAGTACAGTTCAATCTAGTTCAGTTGTACCAGAAAAGGCAAGGACTTTCTACAAAACTAAACTCTGTCTATTCCCATCTTCACTACATATTCTATATGTTACTTAAGCTAGACAAACAACTGAAATTCAAACATCATTTTCATTCGTGAAGTCTCACAATCCACAAACATGCATTAGATATTTGGCTAGGTTAAGTTAAGTTATACTCTATTGTCTCCGTAGGGAAATTATAATATTATTACAGATCAGATCTTTCTGAGGCGTTTAAAATGTCCCAAATTATTATTATTTTTTTTGAAGCTTAAGAGTTTGCCCCTTTCTGTCCTGATTTTGGGGACATGCAGAAAACATAGAATAACAGGGCACATTTTACTCTTGACCTCTGAACAGCAGGTGTCACAGTGGGGCGGCTGTGGCTGTAAAGTGTAAACTCTTGTTGTGTCCTTGAGCAAAACACTTCACCCAAATTGCCTAGAATGAGTCTGGTGTGTGCGTGAATGGTCAGTGATGGTCGGAGGTGCTGATGGCACACTGGTTTTGTCAGTCTGCCTCAGGGCAACTGTGGCTACAATAGTAGTTTATCACCACCGAGTATGGAGCAAATGACTTAAGTAAAGCGACCTAAGGGGCCCCGATAGAAACGCTATAGAACCAATGCATTTTACTGAAAGCTATGGAAATTGTTTGGCTGCATTATGTTGATTTTGCAATACACTGTGCGAATCCATTATGATACCAATACAATTGTTATTCTAATCAATATAAAGTATATACAATACTTGTCTTCTGTAAAAATGAACCATAAGAAACTGTAGGCTTCAGACCTATGACATTCATTCAGGAATTGTTTTTTCCGAGTTCAGAAAACCACGAAAGGGGTTTCCATTGAACATGTTTTGTTTGAATAGAGCAATATTTGAAATCAGGCCTAGCCCACAACTTCTTATCCCTGTCTGTTGGCTGCGAGATGCTATCTTTAACCCTTCACTTGTCTCTGTATTATTCTCGTGTATTCGGTTTTAGACCCCAACACACGATAATAATACACGGCTTTTACTTTTGCATCTGTAAAACACGTGTTTGTCCTTATATCATCCTTCAAGCCGTCTGATCTACGTTCTGCCTCTCGCTGCCTAGCAACACGCAGCATCAGCACCAGCCCACCAGCTAACGTCCACCCGCACAACTGCATAGGCCGTCTGCGCCACCACCAGCAGCGGCATTAGGACGAGCGGATGGGATATAACGCAAAGCATCTCTCCTTGACCAACCTTTGCACAAAACCCACTCAGGCAGGGCACGCACTGAAAGCGACGCCTGCAGGGAGAATGCGCATACGAGATGCTAACAATAATAAGCCAGCGGCGGCCGAGAAAAGGCAGGATTAATGGGAAGCTATCATATGTATGCTGCAGTCGAATATATGCACACATGAAAACACAGCACAAGAAACACTAAAGCCGTGATAATTGCGGTTCTGCCTCGTCGATCATATGCATTATTCTCGCTGCGTAATTTATTATCATTTGCGTAAATGCGTGATGGAAACGTATAAGGAGAAGCGACACGCAGAGACCATGGAGGCAGTGGTAACAGGAGAATATATAAGGATG